ACAACAAAGTAAGTTGGGTATAATTATCACACTTTATTATCCTATTACACATAAATTACAACACTTTTACTCACTCTTCAAGTCTTATAATCCTATTTTTCTATTAATATAATTTGTGTATGTAAATGAGAGACTAATAAATTCACAAATATTTTTACCCAATTAGCAGTACAAATATGCCCTGCAAGTTCCAGACAAATAAGACCTTTAGTTTTGAGGTGTTAGAGGTACGTCTATTGTGGAATGTAAATGAGGTGTAATTAGCATTCTTCATTAATATGTTACATCCCTCAAAATTAGATAGGTGCCTGGGTTTAAAATTAAAATTTGCCACAGAATTTTAATTTCAACTGTCTCCTCTGAAAACAAATATTTTATACCACTGGATTTGTTTGCTGCTTCTGCGGGAAAGTGCAGTTCGATTATTCGGGCTTATACATGAAATGTAGGGAAACCAAGTCTTGATTTTCATGCATCTTTCACTGGTTTTGAGGTATATCTGAACCTATCAATTCATATCCAATGGTAATTTTAGTTCAATAGGCCGCGCCTTGCTGGAACCAGCTTGTACCCATGCAATGGATTTGTGTGATAAGTCGTTGGGCATTGCTTTCTGTTGAATTCATCCTTCCAAAATACCCATTCCTACCAACTTCCCGTTACAGCATCCAAATATTTCTTAAATGAGGCTTCTTCCAATCTTCCTGATAACTGTAATGTTAAGGTTTCTCCTACATGGTGGTTGTACACTAAATAATGCTGGTGTAGGCCTATTCTATAGAATATTTTAACATGACCATTCTGGAAGAGCAAGAGAGAGAAGGAGTTGGTGAATGTTTGAGATTATGTACAGACCTGTCAGTTGTGTATCCAAGTCCCTCTGTTCCCTTACGTACAAGCCTGGTTCTTCCTTTGAGGATCCATGAGTTGAACCTCACAGTGACCAGGGTTCCACTAGAAAGATATACTGATAACTTATGAGAGGAACATTACAAGATTTTATTTGTACTATCAACAACATTTCTGAATCACTGAGTGGTATGGATTTCAGTGACTTCAAAGATAAACCATCTCTAGTAGGCATGCAATTTTTTTTTCTCCAGACTAAATCAGATCCCCGTGATTTTGGAAAGATTAAAAATGTCAATATAAAGAGAGCTAAAGATGCAAGATACAAGCATTCTAATGTCATTGACAAATGTGGGGATTTGTATGTCACACAACTGTGCACAAAATAATTTTAAATTGTGTGCCCTTTTACCAATGTCTGCTTTCCATGGAATAAATGCACATAGTTCAATATCATCCTTAATATTCTGCCTTTTATCTCTAGAAAAGAATATACACACAAAACAACCATTTATTGTTGTACTGATCACATGAAATGTTTCTTTTAGACATTTAGTATAAGTTGCCCAAGCTATGTTTGATACTTTTAGTGCATTTTTACGCCCACCGTATATTCTTTTCATGGAAGTTTGCAGAATTAAAGATGAATGTTTTGTGTGCTTCATGGCTGGCTTCATTTTGCTCTGCATAAATATTTCAAATAAGCATAGAATGTGGATGTGGGATCTACAGGAAATGTTCTGACTTGCTCCTTCATTATTACTTCCAATAATGGTCACCATCTGGGGGAAATGAGTGGAATGACTTAGCAGGAAATCATTAACTTATACTAATTCCAGTTTCAAAAATGTAACACAACCATGACTGCACAAACTTGAGAGTTGGACTCACATGTGCTACAACAAGCCATCTCTCTGAATCTGTTCAAGGCTCTTTGCAATACATCAAAGTATAATTTGATACTTGTTTGATGGGGCACACTTGGTTCTGAGTCAGTTGGAGCCTGGAGACAATGTTCTTACTTCAACTTAACAATTAAGTATTACTTTACCTGTTTGAAAGAGTTAGACGTATTGTCTCATTTAGCCATCTATTTAGGTCACTTAGCTCTACAGATGATAAACTCCAATTTAAAAGGCTATCTGTCTACTTGTGACACAATCTTAGGTCCATTTTGTGGCTAGGATAATGATAACTTAATTGGTTTTCAACAAATTACATATCGGAATCATAAATAATTCAAATCTACAAACTTACAGTCTGGAGAGAGTGCATAATCTGTATAAAAGAAATCAAGGAAGCTAAAATTAAAATATTAGAAAAATCACTTCCAATCCTATAAAGATTTGGTTAAGCAATCTCTTTGCAACCAAGAGCAGCTCTTGAAAGATTTTTTCCAACACATATAATAATCTTCATCGTCTAAATGGCTATTTGGTGTGTAATCTCTACTTACGGGTACAATTACCAGGCAGCAATGAACCTTAGCAATACCATGCTACGTACTCCATCTCAGGTTTTTTTTAGTTTAAATGGGTGTCATAAGATGCCAACAAAAACATAAGTGAACCGGCTGTAACAATGTGCCCCAATGATGCACTTTATCTTCCAAAACATAGCTTTGTGTTTGTTGCTAACAGAAGAAATACTGGTCTATTCGAGCTGATGATTGTTAAAGAAACATTACCATCAGTTACTTGTGGCTTACTGCTTTTATTCTAATAAACAGAGCAACCAATTTTCTACTGCAGTAATAATTTTATGAAATCCTTCAGTCATTTGACATAGGAACCATTTCGTAAGTGTATTCAGTCTCATGAGTTAGTTACACAGCAATACAATATCCTGGGAAAACAAGACTGGGTCATTGAAATGTCCCTATTAGTTGTAAATATTTACATAACAATGACTATTTTCTGCTTTTTAACTAATAATAAAATAATCCTCGCATTTGGTATTGTGTCTTTCACGTCAGGAGGATATCTCAAAGCGCTTCACAGGATTTATTGTAAAGTGCAGTGACTGCGTATTTGTAGGCAAATGTGACAAGCCCACTACTCTCGAATTGCCCAGAATGTTGTTTTCATACACAACTTTAACCTTGCAATCCAGAAATTCTTAGGTACAACTTACTTTCAGGTCTCAACTAAAAAATGGATTCCACCCCCTTCACATTGATTCCCTTTAAATTGGCAATCTCTTTTCCGATTGACCACAAGGATAGCGAACAGACAGAGCAAGAAAATAAATTCCATGCTCGAGCTGTAGGGTGTGCTCTTCTGCAACTGGATTTGAGATGAATTGTTGGGGAGACACAAAGGGAAACCTAATTTGTCATATACCTCTTTCACATCTCAGGATTTCTCTGGCATTGCCTCATTTTGTACTGTACTGTGGCACTGACATTCTTCATGTTTCTGATCCATTTTGTGAAGAGATAACTTGATAACATAAATCACAAGATTTCAAACATTCAGCTTGCAGAGAGACCTAAATAATTTTTGCAGAGGAAGGGCATGGCAATGGTGGAAAGTGATTTTCATTTTAACTATATCACCATTTTACTTAATAATTAGGATTTTCTTGTAACAATGTGCCTGTATGCACTGTGACACCATCTTGCAAATAACTGGGAGAGATTCTGTGATAATTTGAGCAAGACTTCTGCAATATCGCTCTACATTTATTGGCAAATTCAGAAGACCTTGAAGAATGCATGCCTCTTTTAATATAACTAATAGAGCCGTGACATTTTGCAAAGCTTCTGAGGGATCGCTGTAGCTAAAGATTTACGTGAGTATCCTGAAAAGTAGATTTCTTCCTTTAGTGAAACGAATATGGCTGTGGCATTTCATAAAGCTTTCAGGCAGTTTTGACTCCATCGCCACAGTCTTATATAACTGCCCTCTCAGACAGCACATCGAGGGGTAGCTCACCTGAATAGCAATGAGAACCCAAAGGCATTAATTGTCACCATTGTCCGCATCCCTGCTGATACAGAAAGCAGGCAATCTTACGGTCAAATATATCACAGGAAGAAAAACACTTGCAGATCATGAAGAAGTAAAACAAACCCAAACAACTGTCATATTTAAGCACAAGTCATTGGTGTGGTGTAGTGCAGTGCTTTAAATTAAAACATTGTCTCAAACCGTTTTGTAGTCACAAACTGTATGGGTGTGGTGCAGATTTTTTTCATTCAGTTTAAGATCAGTATACGTCAGTGTATTTCAAAATAATGTTTCCCTTTTGTTTCAATGTTTCAATGCCACAAACTCACCCAACGTGATACAATGCATTGAACCAAACTAGTTGATAAGACTATTAATTAATTTGATCTATAGTCCATAAATATTAATGGTGTTTCTTTTTAATATTCTGTCATTTCGACTTTACAAATGCAGAAATAATAGGAGTTGCAAAAGACAAGAAGTGAAAATAGTCATTGGCAAAACTGTATCCAAATATAAATCAATTATTGGGGTGTTTTTTTGACCAATTCTAAGATTTTTTCTTTATATGACAAGTGGTATGCATTTACCATACTTTATTAAGTGCATTCTATCATTCTGTCGTATTGGAATTAGCCACAAACGTATGCCATTAGTTGAGGATGGTAAATTCAAGAACCCATTGATTGGGAAGCACTTCACATGAATGAACAATCTCTGAGCAATGACATGTAAATTTAATCAACATCTCAACAAAAAAATGATTTCACTAGAGGCTATTAACTGAGTCTGCAATCAGTTCAAAGACCTATATGTCATAAATGGCTGATTCGTCTTTTTGTTTTGTTGGAGAAGAATATCTTTCAGAATAAAGAAATGAGGGGGAAGGTAGGAGGTGGAAAATCCGAATTGTCCTTTATGGCAGAATCAAAGGTTGCTTGTTGGTTCTCATCGAGTGTCATCACAAAACAAATGAAACTGATGAGATTTACATTGAGATGTGTCAGCTATTGCGAAATCAGTATTTCCTATTTCAGTGTATTGAATGCTGCATTTTTCTTTTTAAAATCAACTTTGTCCTGTCCAAAACCCATCCCTTCCCTCCCTCCCCTCACCCCCCCACCCACCCCCCCCCCCCGCACCACCCCATTAAAACCCTTCATTAAAATAATGATGACCATTTTGGAGAACATTTGAGTGTTTTATTGTTATTTAACTTTTACGTACAGTTTACATCAATCCAAGAAATATATAGTATAGTTCCCTCACAATCATTCCAACCCAACACCTCCCCATCTGTTCCCACAACAAAATGGAACTTCCAGATGAATAAAACTTGCGTGAGAACGCAATCCACATTTTTAATATGTTTTATTGAATAATAGTTGATTTGAACTGAAAACATATATGCAGTGTACAGTTCGGTCCTCTACATAAACAGCAACCCAGTTGCTAATCAATCTGATTCTACTTTTCAATCCTTTGGTATTATTTCACCATTACGCTGACTGGAGCTTGCTGTATAAACACTTCATAATCTGATATAGTCAGGATAAACAAGTATTAAATGATATTTCTAAGAAGACTGTTAAAAATACCAGTCTTTGAAGCTCATTAATAGCTTGACCTGTCAAATTTAAAACCTAAAAGATCAGCCTAGAAGCATTTGTTTCATCTCTTTCCATGCAAATGAATTTGATACTTTGGCTCAATTTATCCATTGCTTGTGGACAGATTGATTTCAAGAGCTATTTAATTTGCAAACAACAGGGTCTCTCCTTTGCCGTGTTCTGCTGACGCAGCCATCTCTTCTCCCCTGTCACCCATTCATTGTATAATACTGTCATTTCTATTTATGCTGTGAGGTTTTGGGTGACAGTGCCTCATCTTCCTGACTAATTTCTTTCATTGAGGCTCGGGTCAGCGTGTTGGGATGGTACCATGACCTGAATCTCTCCAATGATGCACTTCTGGCTGCTGTAAAATGAAAATCAGATAAAAGAAAGGATTCAGTAACACTTCATCATTGTTCAAATGTAATCATCAATGGTTCCTTTTCTCTGGATCCTTGTAGCCTTTTTTGAAACAATTATGCGAGAGTTGTACACAACAACGGAGAAGACCCAGTCTCCTGAGAATATTAACTAGAAAATCAAGGCACGACTATAGGTCAAAGCAGCACAGGGAAAACAGATGGGGCAGTGAATAGAGGGCATGCAGTAATACATACTTATTAGGCAAAGCCATTTCAGCATGCTTTGGTAAAGGGATGTTGCAGCTATCTTGTGTGTTGAGATATTGATGGCTGCAGTACTCAATATTTTCGTCCTACACTGTGCTGCACATATTATGCATTGACATTAAGACTGCAGTGTTCTTTACCTCTCTGTGTGCCAACACAAAGCTGTACTTCAAAATGATTGGAAACATGTCTGCAGTAAAATATTTTTTCAAACAAAAAATTACATTTATACTTGATAGCCTTGCCACACAATTCTTTGTGCTTGGTGCAGCCAAGCAGTGCATTTAGCACAAAGGAGCTGACAATTTAAGTGCCAGTGTTACATTCATAATATGATTCAAATTCTCTCGCACTCCTTCATCTGTGGGGGATAATTTTAGGCAAGGTCACTGCTGGTCATTCAATCGAACTTCTCAAACGCTGTCAGTTTAAACTGAATTCAATTTAAAATACTGAATGGCGCCCAAGACCATATACAAAATACTATATCGAGTTAACATAAAGGTATGCACAATTGGATTTTATTCATTCATTATCTATGCGGCATTGTTAATGCATGCTGAACAGAAGTTGTACAGTTCTTAGCCCAGTAAATATGGTGATGGAACCATTTAACCCAGATTAACTCGAGAGGTGAGCCTTCACTCTCGCAAGGTAGAAGACTTTACAGCAGCATCAGGATAAAGGTTTGTATCTTGCAGGAGAGGAAAAAAAGCAAACTCGAGAGGTACAGGTCTGATCTCCTCTGAAACAAATCTATCTGTCAATCACGGAGCAATGGTCAAAAGGACCAAGTCTCAAATTCTCCTTATCTCTGGGCTAAAGGAGGAAATAATAATAATAATAATCCTTCCATTTGATATAGCACCTATTACGTTGAGAGGATATCTCAAAATGTTTCACAGGGTTTAATGCAAAATGCTGTGACTGTGTATTTTTGTAGGGGAATGTGGCAGCCATTTGTGCACAGCAGTGCCTCATGATAGCCATGAAGTTAATGACCAATTTTGTCTGGGAGACTACCAGCCAGGACATGGGGAGAAATTCCTTTCTTCTTTCAAATAGTGCCATGGGATTTTGACATCCACCTGTACATGCAATCGGGGCCTCAGTTTAACATCTAATCTCAGCACCATCAACAATGCAGCGCTTCCCAGTATTATACTAGAATATCAGACTGTGAGATCAAAGCTCCGATGTGGAGCTTGAACCTAAAACCTTCTGACTCAGAGTTGAGAGTTGTAGCAAATGAACCAAGCTGACACGTAAATAGGGTAATGAATGAAGCACCAGCAGCAGATGGAACAAAACATAGGGACAACCAATCTTAGTCTTAAGTATTCAAAAACAACTTTTAGGAATATTATTGCAGATTCATAACGAAAATGAATACTCAGCCTTTTTGTGAACAAAGGGGCATAAGATGTTATTTTTACACCCAATTTAATTTCATGGAAACATGTCCAAGTGCAATTGTTGGGAAAATATTAGGGCCATGAAAAATACCAGTTTTTACAGTATATAACATTTCTATCAAACTATTGGGTTTGGTAATCTGCCACAATCTACCAAGGAATTTATTTTGCAGTGGGGGATGAACTGTAAGCGATATAGTTGGCAGAAGACATAATTACACCAATGGGTTGTGTCAAAGGGTGCAGAGATTGTTGTTCATCTCATTCATTGGCCTTGTGCAATGAGAATGTGAAGACAGCAGAGGTATTCAGTAGTGAGAATGTAGAGGGAGTTGAGCACAGATCATATGCTTCTCCACAAAAGCTTTTACCCAATTGAAGAGCGATATTATGAGAGGTCTGAGAGCAGGTTAGCCATCTGCCCTGTCACCTGATAAATAATAAAAACAATAATCCTTGCATTTGATAAAGTGCCTTATCACGTCTTCGAAACGTCTCAAAGCACATCACAGAATACACTATAAAGTGAATTGACTGTATATTTTGTGGCCAAAACACGGCAGCCAATTGCACACAGCAGTATCTCACAAACAACCAAGTTATTATTTAAAAACATTTTTTTTAAAGGATTATTACAGCTGGAAAACTGATCCTCCAATCGATTAACAACCAGGTTCCTACTTACTACTAGGTATACAGAGGCATGTGGAGTAAGTTAATGATGCACAGCACAAAGTAACCGAATGAGATAAATACATAAAATGGGGCCAAAAAGAATTATACCTCGCACAAGTCAACTCCTTAAACAAAAAGGTTAAAGCATTTTTGTTTTAGCAGTGAGTGCTAATAGCACTTTAAGAGAATTCAGTTAGATGAGATATTGAGCCCAGTGAAGAACTAAATTAATATATATGCAATTGAAATGAGAAGATCATTGAAGCACCCTGAGTTAATGACTTTAGCGACTAATATTAATTCTCACACTGTCAAGCTGAGTAACTTTTCCAGGCCAATTGTCCCAGTGATGTTCTTAGCGTTCACCATTTTAAAAGAGTTAAGAAGGAGAAATGGACAAAAACACAAACTTAACGATTAAAGGGGAAATTGCTACAAAAAGCTCTTTAAATCTAAATCTTTTGTTCTGGTCCAGCAATTATATTCACTGAGATATTAGTGCAAAAAAAATCTTGTTGTTGTTGTTGTATCAGTCTGGTTCAGACCCTCGCCTCTGGTTCAGAAGGTTGTGGGTTCAAGCCAGATGTAATTTGAATTTAAGTTCTGAATACAAATGTTGAACTTATAGTTTAGGCTGACATTCAAGTAACAGTGCTGGGGAGCGCTGTATTGTCAGAGGAGCTGACCTTCAGATGAGATGTTAAACTGATCAGGTGGATGTTTAAAATCCCATACACTATTTGAAACTTTCGCTCAGTGTCCTGGTCAACAATACTGTAGATAAAATTTGTCATGCACTTAATAGCTGCTTGTGGGACATTGCTGTACACACATTGGCTAAAGTGTTTGTCTACAATCACTTCACTTTATAGCAACATTATAATTGTTGTATCAACTGCAATTATTCTTTATATTCTAAACTCAAAATTTTCAGTTGTAAGGAGACTCCTGATACACTATTTGACAATAGTCTGTGTTGACTCCAGCAGTTGCCAGAACAGAGACAACTGCAGCTTTCAGTTGCAGCTTTTAAATAACTCAGTAAAAGCAGAATTTTACCCGCCTCAGAAGTTCATGGCAATGCCCTGCTTGCCAACTGCAACTGGGATCTTACTGTGGGTAGAAGTGGTCCTGCACATAGCACAAAACACATCATGCTAGCGAAGTGTCTGAGATTGCCGACAATGACAGCAGAAACCTCAGAAATGACAAGGCCAAAAAAGAAACTGGTCAAACCTCAATTGTCTCTAGGACCTCAGCGTGTGATGGCTTTAGCCCTTAGAACCAATTCACCAATTTCAAAACATTAGCCTACAACTGCAGCACTCACGCAAAAAACAGTCCCAGTTTGACAGCACATTAGCAGATAAGGTTGCTAATTATTTTTCTAATATTGCTGCCATCAAATACATAAAATTCCGTTGAGGCTGTTTAGACCCTCAAGGTTCTTCTCTAACACATTTTTAATGGTGATGAAACTGGAGCATTGAGTTCCGCAAAAGCAGATGCTCCACTTTCTCGCTGTGAAGTTCAAAATTAATTTTGTATCCTAATGACCCAGTTACAACCTATAAAATAGACTCTGTTATTCATACTTTTTTAAATTAGACGGTGTCATTTTAATTATCACCCTTTTTATTGACTGTGCTCTTTACTCCATTGGAAATGAGCACAATTTTGTGGAGTGCTAATTGTAAGGGAAACAGCCATCAGCAGTGAGCTGAGTTGGGGTTGGTTCTAAACTGAGGCCTGAAATTATCATGGCTTTAAGAATTAAAATGGAAGTTTGGGTGGAATTCAATTCAATGTAAAATTAGGTTTTACTCTGGAAGCCAATTTTCCACAGTTCTTGAGCCCGTAAGCAGCTTTACAATAGTCCTATTTGTATAACCTCTCCAGGCCTCCGTCCTAGCCCACTTACTCTTATCTACTGACTGGTGTACTATTGCTATTATCAGGTCTTTCCATTTTATCATCCAACACTGAGTTTTGAGCGCTCCTGTGATATGGAATTGTCTTTCAGAAGCAATTTGCTTTCCTACTTCTCTCCTTGCTTTAATAGCTTTCAAAAGTCCATCTCTTTAACTGTTCCTTTGAATTACTCTAGATTTCTCTTACTTCTTGCTCATTGTCCACTACCTCCATTGTTGAGCTCTTTGAGACATGAAAGGCTGTTTCAATGCAAGCTGCTCTTGGTAAATAATAATAATAATAATCCTTGCATTTGATATAGCGCTTTTCATGTCGGGAGGACGTCCCAAAGCGTTTCACAGAATAGACTGTAAAGTGAATTGACTGTATATTTGTGGGCCAACGCGGCAGCCAATTGCGCACAGCAATGTCCCACAAACAGTCGTAGATTGAAAATGACCAATTTGTTATTGTTTTGGGTTTTGGAGGGATTATTATTAGGCGTGTGGAGTAAGGAAACTTGCCCAAGGTTTCGCCCTGCCTGGAATTGAACTCAGGTCTCTCGTTTGCAAAGCGAGTGCTCTAACCACTGAGCTACAGGACTCCACAGTGTCACAAATGCACTGATCTTGACCGGTGACTGCATCTTATTCCTGTAAGTTGGTAAATGTAGCAGCCAGCAGAAAATTCATACCTTCTCCCCACCTTAACAACAAAGTAAAAGCCTCCAGACT